ACAACGTCACTTGTCTGTGCCGGGTTGTGCTGCTGAAAGTCGTGTTTCTGCCGCTTTCTGAAGCTGAAACACGTTTCGTTATCAAGATATTGCGTCTTCTTTCTTCAGGGTGTGACGTCACCCAGGTCCCCTGCGATGGCGGAATAGTCACGTGACTGATATACTGTACATGGCGAAAAGGAAGAGTTTCAGTCCCAGAAGCCCCCAGAGTTAATAATTCCCCAGGGCCCGGTGGGATCTCACCATCATTGTCTCCAGGCAATGAGAGAAGAGCAGTGGTCTTCCAACAGTCCCTAAACACAGAGACAGGACCCAGAGACTGGAGAATAGCTCCTGTAACTCCTTTCTCATAAAGCAGACAGGAGACAAAACTGAACCAGGTGCTTGTAGACCAAGATATCCGACTCCTCTTGCATGTAAAGTAATGGAAACATTAGAATTGAACTAGGGGACCTGGATGAAATATACTCGGCAATGATTTAGAAAAGGTACCTCCTGTCTCACAGCAACAACAGCAACAGATACACATAGATACACATAGGGCATTTGGTATGGAGTGTTAAGATTTTCAGAAGCACTTTTGTAAAGTTCCCCCAAAACTATTAATTCTCAAGTTTTAAGGTGGTAGGCATTGAGGGAAATGTGTCTGGATAGAGAATTAGCTATTAAATCTAAAACAGAGGGAACAGATAAGAGGTGAATACTCTAATTAGTGTAATGCAATTAGAGGAGTACCCCAGAGATCTGTACTGGGACCACTGATCTGAATTTACATCTTCGAGACGGTGTGGGGAACCAGTATGAGACAAACAAAATGCTGAGATTTTGGCATGACCATACAAAACTACAAAAAACAACACTCAAAATAAATACAGATTATAAACAAATAATACACATAAACATAAACATAACACATAAACACACATCACACTCTCATTACACACTATCCGCTAGCTCCATACAGGAAACAGTCACTTAGCTGTGTTTAATATGCCAATTACACAGGGAATAAAAGATTTCCTGTAGACATTTTCTTCTTGTCTTATCATCTTGTATCATGTCCTTTCATAATGTATAAACAATTAAATACCATACTCTTATATCACTAAGACTTGAGGGCACTAGGGCACTACAAGGTACAGTATAAGAATGCACACACATCTCGATACTTTCCTATCTCAATGACTCTCTCAGTGCAGTGTTAATGTCCTGTAGTGTCCAGTCAGTGTGTCTGGACTGTATTAACCCCTCTCTCTCAGTGCAGTGTTATTGTACTGGAGTGTCCAGTCAGT